CTGTGATAGAGTCTTCCTTTGTTTAGACAATAGTAGCTTTCGAGTTGGCTTAACATAGACATTTTAAATCTATAATTTTTAGGTCTAGCGCATTGAGTATCGTCCATTAACAATAATTTGTACTCGTAAAAATTACCATTTAAATGTCAATCAAAATTAAATTGATGTGTATAACTAAATCATACTGTACATACATACTGCATTGGTCCAACTAAACACTGATTACTTCCAGAGATGTGAACCACATATAAATCATAAGTATTTTCTAGTTATAATCATTCCGCGTATTTTCAGTTCTAAAATGTTGTATTTCTGCTGTTGAGAAAGATCGTGAGTCAATCTTTAGGACCGTTAGACCATATGGAAACCAGGCTTTAAAATAAGCCTTCTTTATGGAAACCAGGCTTTAGAATAAGCCTCAGGTGCACCCAAGCCGCTCACATACCGTTGTTTATAGAAATCGAATATTTTAGCATTCACAACAAACGCCACTGCAACAAACACGCCTTGTAACGAGATAAGAATCACAAAGAAATACCAAAATACGGTTGTAGATGTCACGACCAGAGCAAGGAGACCAAATAACCATGTAAATCCCATCAGAGTGGATAGCTTTGCGTATATTGAGAGATTTGACCGCCTGTTGCCACTGGCTTGCTTTGCTGCTGTGTTTTGACTGTGTTTTCGAATATATACGGCAGCAATAACGAAGGAGATGATATTGAACAACAATAGCACTGCAATTGGGATGGTAACGAAGTATGTATAAGCATTATCCTCGGTTAACCAACAAATTTCTGATTCTCCATAACCGATTTTTAGAGCATCTTGGTCATCCAGTACAACACAAATCCCAACAAAAATCCCTGGTAGTAGCCACACCAAAGCTACATATATACAAAACAGCTTTCTTTCGTGACCCTGAGACATTTTCGGGGCAGGTAGACTTTTTGCAAAGACTTTACACGTATGAAATGCGATTACACTCATACTGACAAAAGTTGTCATTAGGAAATAATGTTCCATAATAGCCATTGCCATGCATGTTGGTTTGTCTGACCGAACTTCGGTGGAACTTGAGGGTAGCCAGAATATCTGGAAAAGTAACAAACTCGCAGCAAAATTCATGAGGTTCTTCCCAGGTAGTGTTCGAAGCTGGGGGAAAAGGATGTAGGTCACCAGTAGAAATGTCAGGAATAATATAGAAAGTAGGAATGAAATGAACGTTAAAGAACCAAGTACTTCATTGTCACGGATCATTTGACGAGTTTCGGTGATGATACGCACTTTGAAGTATCGGCAGGTTGCAATGGATTTGTTAGACAGGATTTCATACTCGCCGTAATTGTACAAACTTGACGTTTGGTTCACATAAACGCTCAAGTTGACCATGATGCTGTACTCTTTTGGTGTGTACTGAACTGTGGACCCATTACATTTTGTTGGGATGTAGTTCTCACATACGGTTATATTGCCTCGTTTTACATCAAGTTTTTCAAAGTTTTCGCGGTAATATTCAAATTTTTCGTAAGTTTTGTTAGTACTTGGTATAAACACTCGTTCTCGGTCATGTAAAGTGTATTGGAGTGGTGTATAAGTTGTTTTTCCAACACACGCAAGTGGGCGGGACGTTGTTTTAGTTACTGTGAAGGGAAGGCCTTTTATCTGCAGAGTGAATGCCTCTGAAAAGTAAATATAGTTCAGAAGTTTTGTTTCAGAAGATGTGGCGTTCATCAAAAGGAGTTCCAAACTTTGCTGTGGAGTTAGAACGATAGTCGAAGACACTAAATAAAACAATTTTATTGTTCGTGGCAGTAAAACAGTCGTTATGTTAATACCAAACAGTTGGAATTGAGAAACATTCATATATTTTGCAAGGGAATCTTTGAATTCCGTAGGTGTAAACAAGTTATTTTGAGAATATTGTAGTGGTTTAAGCCAAGCATAAACGTAGAATCGTTCCTGTCCGTTTTGTTCCAGTGTAGATAACCAATTTGCTCGACAAACTTGCAAAATATCGTCAAAAATCATTCCACTTCTGCCGCATTCTTCATCGTATACTTGTGTTTTGATTTCTGCTTCAATTTCACTGTGGTCTAAACGTAAAACCAAGGAGATCGAGTGACGGCATGTTGGCGGAACATATGGTATAGAAAAACATGAAAATATCTCGCTTGGTTCAACATGACAAGCTGCACAGTGTTTATTCTTAAAATGTCGTGGAAATACTGAAATTAGAGCTACATCACCATTAATACAGGACTCAAACTGTAATTCACTCGGAGGGCAAGAATCGATGACGTTGACTTTGTCCAGACAGTATCGTCTAGCTTGATTCTTTCCGGGAGTCCAAAGTTTAAATACAACTCCACGAGATAACATGAGGCGAATTTTCTCCGTGAGGGTATGATTTTCCAGGGAGATGCCTGGGACCGAGGTTGGGGAGATGAAGGGTTTTCGACCTTCAATAGGCCAAGGATCGAATCTCTCTACTCCATTACATATTGCGCAATACATATTACGGAATGTGGTACTATCGTGACCGAGTACCGGAAGATAACCATAGAGGTCTGAAGAGGAGTAGGAGGAGTAAGTAAGTTTATCCACTGGTGTTTCGCATTTGGTTCGGAAATTGTCGTAAGGCCACTCGGACAGACATCGGGCGACCACCCATAGTCCGTCGCTGACCGTATTGCAGTGTTCAGCATTATAATGTCCAATATCTTCACAAGTGTAGCTATATTTTTTGGTCAGTGTTTCCGTTGGTTTCTGAGCATCGCAGTACTTGGTGTAATCCGAACAACAGTCATTGAACACTTCATAACAATCAGGGTCGCATGAACAGCGCATTTTACCTTCAGTTCGCCATTCTGTACGGCTGCTACAACGACCTTTGCACGAATTCTCGCTTGAACATGTTGGAATATTAACTGAAGACTGCGGTGGTAATGTGGTTGGTACGTTTCGTTTTGCAACACGATGAATAGACAACATTTTCTTTCGTTTTCCTGGCTTCGAAAGTTTAATACGAAGAGATAACAAATTTCCATTTAATATGTCCGACCGTAAACTCGTTTTATTTATTTCCGGATAGTTTAGTTCTGACAGTTTTGAACGTGTCCTATTCGTGCCTTGAGATTCAATCCCGTTGCTAATGTCGCGTTCCTTTTGTACAACACTAGCGGGGTTTGAATGTAATCTTCGCTTGCCACTTTCGAGTTTCAAGCGCTCTGTTTCAGAATATAATACCAAACTACTTCCTTCAACCCCCCGAAGTTTTGGCATTGTTTTGCTTGTTTCGTGGTGCTGTTTCTCTCTAATTTCTTTCAAATTGCTCTTTAACCATCCCTTATCATTTTCGATTCGGCTTGCTGACGAGCCGTGTATAAGCATTAAACAAACTACAAACAGTAAAATATTCACGAATGGATTCGACATTCTGATCTCGTTAGTTTGTTATGTATCAGTCAATGTTTTTATATATAAAACAAACACCCTTCCGGTGTAAAGCTTGCGAAAAACAAGGGGGAATTTCGTTCTCGACCAATCAGTGGATTTGTTGACAATTTCGCTCTAAGCCAATCAGAATGCGTAATTGGTTACTGTAGGTAGTTTCCCTGCGAGCACTGAAAGCCCACTTCCGGTAAAAACATTCACATTTGAACAGAAAATTTAAGGTCTTAATAAAGCTTCGAGGAGGTCAGGATTTTAAATTTTTTATTGGATTCAACGTGACAAGTTAAAATAAGAAATTTTCTAAAAATTTGCAGCTGGGATTTGCGTTTTATTGCCTAGTTCTAAAATTATCAGCATTCGAACTTTCGCGCTTTTTATACGCCGCTGTTCGAAAGCCGATAACTTTAAAACTAGGCAATAAAACGCAAATCCCAGCAGCAAATTTTTAGAAAATTTCTTATTTTACTGTCACGGTTAAATCCAATAAAAAATTAAAAATCGCGATCCCCTCGAAGATTTATTTAAGATCCCTAAATTTTCTGTTCAAGTGTATGTTTTTACCGGGATTAGTAACCAATTACGCATTCTGATTGATTTAGAACGAAATTGCTCCTTGTTCTTGCGAAATACATTGAGCCAGAGTCTATGACGTGGGTTACGAAATACGCTGGGTTATGTGGGCTACGAAATACACTGGGTTATGTGGGCTACGAAATACACGTCTATGACGTGTGCTACGAAATATGCTGGCGGCTCGCGCCGGAAGTTGACGGCCAGGTTGCTGGCAAGAATAGTGCTGAATATTATAATAAACTTTGAACAATTGTTCAGGAACCAGTTAGAGATGTTGCTGACGAAGTGTCAACAGACTTCTGTGCTATTCTTACAGCATTTAAAATACAAGTGAAAAGCCAAAAAATGCTCGAATATTTTTATGTAGTATGAACATGAACATGCAAGGTGAAGCTTTAATACTGGACTAATTTCAATTTCTCCTAGGCAATAGTATCGCCAGTTGAAAACCCCCTCTAGCTGTAAAACCACAAGTTATTGTCTACCAGGCCATGACTTTTTGCAATATGATTGCAAACACAATATATGTCATGTGTTATTGACGTTGTGTAATTAATGTATAACATATTTATCAATAATAAATCTAACTGAGCGGAAGGGGCAACTAGATTGCCCTCAGCAGGATAGGCACCTTAAATTAACCCGTATTGTACCTAATTGATTCATGCTATTACTCTATTGGCAATGCATTTGTTATTTTAGAATTATGATGCCATAAAGCAGCAGAGAAATATTTTTACCATGGGCAAGGCCCGAAGATCATAGCCTATGTACCACATATGATGATATCATAATAAATCACATTAGTATTTTTGCACAAGTGAACATAACAAATCCTACAAATTGATTGGTCAAATTTGACGTATTAAGCTGTTATATTCACCTATAGGTGAATATATGACAAAACCGAAATTTTTAAAATGGCGGCTAGGCGTTGTGTGGCCATTATACTGATAAAGAAATAAGCGAAATTAAAATAAATTCAGTCCCCAAAAACACAAAAATACTGAAACAATTATTCGCCTCAGACTCGGTGATTATCGGGGAATATTCACCCCGACTTAGTGCGAATGTTCTCCGATAATCACCTCGCCTTCGGAGAATAATTGTTAATTGACATACTGTGCATTAACTAAAACCTAAAGTAGTCAGACACCTTTTCTGCGTATTTTTAATGATTTTGCCATATGACACAAATTTTGTAAACATCTCTGACATGCATTCATTGAAATTAGTTTTTGTTGCAAGTTTCAGCAATTTTGTTGCAAGTTTTAATTAAAAAAGGCTTGTGATAAGTAATAACCTAATTAAAGTATTCACAAAGAAATCTTGTTACAAACTATGACACAAATATCCCAAAATACAATTTTTTGCAATTAAGTATTTCTAATCGTTTCTTTTGAAGACAACGTTTAGTTAGAAAATATAATATTATACCGCTCCAAAATATCATATAAAGCAAATTACAAGCGCTCTGAAAATAGTACGATTTCGGCTTGTTTCAACTACATAAAAATATTTTGCGTTAATATGTGTGTATTAAAAAGCATAAAAGCATCAAACTGAACCAAATTTGGGGTCTCAACCCTCACCTGGAAAGGCACTTGATCGAGTGTGTGGTCCTCAGAATGTGTGTTTATTGACTTTTCTTAACTTTTGTTGTTCTAGATTTCTAGCTGTAGCAGCCGTCAGTGCGTTTTGGCATGGTCTGGCACCAGGGTATTATCTATCGTTCGTCTTTATTCCATTAGCTCAATCCGTTCAGGAAAGATGTGCAAAGAAATTTCTACCATATCTTAACGAGAAACAGCAAGAATGGTACTTCTGGGTTAGTTGGTTTATTGGTTACCGTCTGTTGGAGTATTTTGGTGTTGGTGTTTGGGTACATAGCATGTCATTAACTTTACGTTGTTGGAGAAGTATGCGTTATTATGGACACATTCTACTTCTTGTGTTGTTTCTGTTAACAATTATTGTCCCTGATGCTCGTTCTAAACAACACGATAAAATATCACATGAAAAATTGTCACATGAGAAAACGTCTTAAGTTTAGTTTATTGCAAAAGTTATATCATGGATTTAAATTAGTAAGCCCAATCAAAGAAGTAAAGCCGGTTTCCACTTCAACCGTATTGTACCATACCGTATAGCATTTATTTTTTGTCAGTATCATGATGAGTCCCATCCTAGTTTTCAGAAAACAAAGAAATACGCTACGGTCAATGGACAACTTGCATGTTAGACTAAATTTTAATCTATTAAGTAAAGAGAAGGTCATCAAACACCACAGCTAAAAAGAACATAACGAAAATTGCAAAATTTAGTTGCGAGATGATATAAAGCTTGGAAAATATAGTCTTGTGAAGTTTGCAAATTTTGTATATGTTTGTATTACGTGCGCAAATTGTTACCATTTTCGGCTCAAAAATGGTAACCATTTCCGCACGTAATACAAACATATACAACATATGCAAACTTCGAAAGGCTATATTATATTTCCGAATATAAAAACTCTTCAACTGTTAGTTGTATCGAGATGCCTGAATATTTATCGCATCGTGAATTTGCCTCGGTGTGTACAAATTAGTAGCTTCCATTGTCATTGATAAATATCAATGGTATACTCGAGGCTTTTTTCAGGATTTTTTGCGTTCAGATTTGACTTCCACTACCACGCTTCTGATTGGTTAATGGTAGCGGAAGTGAAATCTGAACCTTGCATGTTATTGAGCGGCTGTAGGGGCAGAGTGGATCCAGATCTCCAGGGGGGGATGATCGCAATTATATATGCCTTTAGAACAGCTCAAAATCGCGTTGACTTTGGAGTTAATGTTTCTTTAAAACATTCTCTCCAAATGCTTGTTGTTTCCGACGGGAAACTATTTCACGTCATCCGACAGTTTCAAAACTTAATTCAAGATTTCATAATCAGCCCTGAAAACCCTCGTTCCATTGTCTCATGTGCACTCAAGAAGATTTAGGAAGTATATGTCAAGCCTGTTTTCTTCTTCAACCATATTGCTTCAACCATATTGCGTCGAGTCATCATTACTTCCTCCGTAGGCTAGTGCTCAGTTGCTCAAAGCTGGATTAGCGCTAACCCTCGGTTAAAATTTAACCTTCAGCTAGGGCCGGTTGTTCAAAGCTAGATTAGCGCTATCTCTGGGTTAAAATTTAACCTGCTGTTTTAGTTTATGTATTTCTGCACGTCTGCTTATTTCATAACTTCAGAGAAGAAAAACTCCTACTGATTCAGACACGATGTCTGAAGAAATATTTCCAAACTTATAAACAAGCTATTGGAAAGTATGCTTTGAATTTTAGGTTAACCTAGGGTTAAGCTAACTCAGCTTGGAACAACTGGCCCCTGTTTTAGTTTATGTATTTCTGCACGTCTGTTTATTTCAAAACTTCACAGGAGACAACTCCTACTGATCCAGACAAGATTTCGTACAATACGGTTGGTGTTGAAACAGGCGTTGGAAATAGTAAAGCATTTTTGGTTTATGACTATATGCTTTTGCTTAATTATTTGGGGAGCCTCGCAGTGCCTCGGAAGATCGTCTCCAATTGGATGGGGGTTTTCTAAAGAACGAAACAATGTCATTGTTCTGAACACAAAAGCAATTGTCAAGTCGAGCCAATGGAAAGCAATCTTCCGAGCTACTGCGAGGCTACCCAATTATTTTATTATTTATTTGGTTTACAAATTACAACAGAACCGAAATTGCGAACAGCAAATTGTATCATGTAAATATACAAGCCTTTGCACAGATATAAATTTAGTGAATTGTTGATTTAAAATGATATCATACACATTATTTAAATTATAAAATAACGTTAAAATTTATACACAACAATTTGTCGAATTCAGACTTAAAAGTGGATGTTGTTGGATATTTAACGACAATTCCAGTTGTCAATATTTGCAGTTACAGCCGAACATATCCACGCCAAGCAGAAATCAACTTAACAATGTTGTAATGTACATGTGTGTAGATGAGTTATAGAAAGATCAGAAAAGATATTTTATTAATTGTAGTAGGAGTATGAGAGATCTGGCACATTTTCCCCAAGTGCAGATTTCCGCCCCAAATACCCAAAAATTTCCGGACGACTTATCCCCAGATCCCAAAAAAATTCCGGACGAATTCTCACCAAAAATATTCGGACGGCTTCTCTCCAGGTTCCAATCTCGTTTCCCGAGCCTGCGATCCTCGGGAAGGAACGCGAGGCTCTGGGATAATCCGTTGCCGGAAGCCAGGAATCCTGGCTAAGATTGAACTACGCATTCCATTTCAACGGCCAATCAGATTCCTCCCTGAAACGGATTATCCCAGAGCCTCGCGTTCCTTCCCGAGGATCGCAGGCTCGGGGAACGAGATTGTCCAGGTTCCCAAAAATTTCCGGACGAATTCTCCCCAGATCCCCAAAATCCAACCAAAGGATTTGGGAAGTGCTTGGTCGCAGAGTGTTTGCTGTGCTTACAAAGTACAACGCTTGCGGTTTGAGTACTTTACTGATCCATAGTTAATGACTGATCCCACATGAAGTCTTTTGTCCTGTGGTGACCATGAGCGATGGTGTTGGTTTTGTCATCACAGATGATTGGCTTATCGTCCCCGGCCGACAGACCGATTTTGGTTGTGGTGACAGTGGTCATGTTTTAAATTTAATGTTGTCTGCAGAGTAACAAACAACAGGTGTAAATCTGATTTAACATTGGAATACAATGAAAACTCGCATGAGGCAAATAGCACAACATTATGTACAATATAAATTGTTATAATTTACATTATGTTAAAACATTAATTTATTTCAGTTTATCAATTAACTGCCTCACCCTAAGCAAGAGTAGAGTAATCACATCACCAGCATAAGAATTAATGCAAGCGCTTTTGATCATTATATGTAAAAAGCGCTTTATAAATTATTAAATTATTATTATTATTAATCCCTACCTAACCAATGGTACCTTCTCCATTGCCAACTAGTCATCCATCAAAGATGGATAATTTCGTAATAACGAGATTTTCTCTTCGCCTTCATGTTTTCCAGTCGATTTATCGCCTTGGCTAGCCATATCAGTCTTTTTAAAATTTCAATTTTCAACAAGCAAATACATGTGAATAATATATATTTACCTAAATATTTTCACTATTAAAAACTAGGCCGGCACAAATATGAATTTGTTTTGTACACAAATTTCTGAGCCGTCTCGGTCTCGCACATGTCTGGAACTCGCGCGGGACCAGTGCGAAATTTTCCTGCGTCCTGATTGGATGATCCACGCATGCGCGCGCTACCCTTACCCGAGTGTCAGGTTATCGCGCATGCGTTCGTTTCAAAGGTTTGGAAACACCGAGCTAAATCATCCCACATGCACCACACCTGACAACTACAAGTCTACAACGTACTTATATACGGAACTGTTACTTCTATTAATGTGTGGTAGTTACCGATCATAGGATCTTGCGAAAAGGGTGCCAGGCATAATGGTCTGGGGGCCGCCGGCACTCTCCCCCGTCGTTCGTTCGATACCAGTTGGTAAGCCACCTATATTCACTCGCTTCTGACGATAGCGTTGAGTTCAGCCGAAATCTAGCTTAAACGTTAACATACGGCTAGCATGAGACGGACTTGACCGATACGAGCTAGCAGAGTCGGGAAGTATGGACGTACTGATGGGGCGCTTTCCTTTTTAAAAATTTTATTTGTAATTTCCTCTTCGATATAATTGATAAAACAGATTTTCTAATTTACAAAAGTTAGCAGTGTGTTTTGTGCTTTTTATCTAACTTATAAAAATCTAGAAATGTAACTACTACTTGTTTATGTCATCTCAATTTTAAAAACACGATTAAAAACCTAAATTAAACTATTTTATTAAGTTCTAAAGTTTACTGTAAGTTTCACACCAGGATACCAGCTACTTCGCCATTTTGTAGGTACCCGTCTACTTTCTGGTCAGCCTTCATTTTAACCAGTCAGATCACGATCCAAAAAAACTCGTAATCTGATTGGCTAAATGAAGTGATCCGTTGATCCCACTAACTGGCACCAAGCTTGGAAAACTGGACAAGTTGGGCCGTTGTCGACTGTCGAGCTCCACAAGTGTCCGACAGTCATGACAGCGAAAGTAAGTGAGCCACGGCAAAATAAAATTAACTGCAACGTCAAAACTACATAAACGGCACTGGAAAATAAAGTTAACTCACGGCAAAACGAAATTAACTCCGGGGGAAATATAAAGTCACGTTAATTAATAAGTTATAATAACTCATGGTTGGAGATCCCGCGCATTCCCGCCATTCTTCTAGCGCATTGCAGGGCCTTTTTTAACATACAAGCTGGGGGGGGGGGGGCATTTGGTCCCCCAGTCCCCCCTTGTGCCCCCCCACGAAATCACATTTTGCCCCCCCCCCAGGAAAAGTCCCTTTTTCCTAAAATTATACAAACAATCCAGCGAAGATTAACAAATAGATAAACGGAAAGTAAGTTTTAGGCTTTATCCTTTGTTCTTGTTTCACAAAATCGATTTAAATTGTTACTTTTTTACCACTAAGCCATGATAAATTATTGTTAATATTTTTTTTTATTTTTTGGATGCTCAGAATGCAGGAAATAGCATTTCACGGTTTCAAATTTCAAAAATTTTCTTGGGATTATCCCTCTAATAAGTAATGATAAATTACAGTTAATATTCTTTTTTACTTTTTGTGCATTTTTCCATCTTTTATTTCAAATACAACTATAGTTAGCATA